CATATGTGGCACGGTCCGGGCACGTGTACTGAAGTGTAATAATGGAAAAATTTTTTGTTACGCGGTCGTCGGCGGGCGTACTGAGGTGTACATGTACGCGGTCACGCGCGGTACTGAAGGTGTACTTGTAAGCATGGTCGTGCTTGTACTGAAGGTGTACATGTACACGGTCGTGCGCGGGTACTGAAGGTGTACATGTACACGGTCCGTGCGGTGTACTGAAGGTGTACATGTAGGGTCGTCGCGTGTACTGGAAGGTGTATATGTACTACGGTCGTGCGCGGTACTGAAGGTGTACATGTACGCGGTGCGTGCGTGTACCTGTAGGTGTACATGTACGCGTCGTGCGCGATGTACGAAGGTGTACAGTGTACGCGGTCGTGCGTGTACTGAAGGTGTACATGTTACGCGGTCGTGCGTGTACTTGAAGGTGTATATGGTACACGGTCGTGCGCGGTACTGGAAGGTGTACATGTAGCACGGGCTTCGTGTACTGAAGGTGTACATGTACGTCGGTCGTGTGCGTACTGAAGTGTGTGACATGTACGACGGTCGTGCGCTTGTACTGAAGGTGTAGCATGTAGCGCGTCGTGCGTGTACTGAAGGTGTAATGTACGGCGGTCGGTGCGTGTACGGCGGGGGCGGGGGCGGAATGCGGATGAAGGTGTACATGTAACGCGGTCGTGCGCGTACTGAAGGTGTGCATGTACACGGGCTTGCGTGTAGCTGAAGGTGTACATTGTACACGGTGCGTAACGTGTAGCTGAGGTGTTACATAGTACGGCGGTCCGTGCGTGTACTGAAAGGTGTACATGTACGCGGATCGTGCGGTAGCTGAAGTGTCATGTACGGCGGTGTGTGCGTACGTGAAGGTGTACATGTACACGGTGCGTGCGCTGAGTGCTGAAGGTGTTAGAAATGTACGCGGTCGTGCGTGTACTGAGGTGTAGCATGTACGGCGGTCGTGGACGGTACTGAAGGTGTACATGTCGGTCGTGCGGGTACTAAGAAGGTGTACATGATACGCGGTCGTGTGGCGTAGCTGAAGGTGTACATGTACGCGGTCGTGCGTGTACTGAAAGGTGTAGGCATGTACGCGGTGTTGCGTGTATCTGCAAGTGTACATGTAGCGCCGGTGCGTGCGTGTACTGAAGGTGTACATGTACACGGTCGTGCGTGTACTGAGGTGTACATTGTAGCGCGTCGTGTGCGTTATGAAGGTGTACATGTAGCGCGGTCGTGTGGCGTAACTGAAAAGGTGGTAGCATGTAACGCGGTCGTGCGCGTACTGATACGTGTAGCATGTAGGCGGTCGTGCGAGTGTACTGAAGTGTTACATGTACGGCGGTCGTGCGGGCGGTACTGAAGGTGTACAATGTACGCGTCCGTGCGTTTTTAATGAGCTTTTCGTTTTTTCCAGATTTCGGATAATAGATTTTGTGTACTGTACATGTACACATTCGCTCTCTGGTGTTTGCTTGCAGACGTGGGACTGAAGCGTGGAGTCGGATTCTACGTTAAGCAAGATCACGGCTCGTCGCTCCTCCCGCGAAGGAAGGAAAAGCATCGCCATCGGCAGACGGCGCATCGTTCTGGTGAGGCTCGTCCCTCTCCTCTCTCTCTCTCTTCTCTCATTCTTGCGCGTGCTCTCTATCTTTCTCTTGTTCTTGCTGTGTCTGTCTCTCTCTCCTCTCTCTGCTCTGGCTCTCTCCACCCCTCGCCTTGTCTCACGGCTATCCCGTCGCTCTCTTCCGCTATCCTCTTTCCTCTCTCTATCTTCTCCTTCCCCTCTCTGCTCCGCGCGCCTCTCTCTCATCAGCACGAAAGATTATACAATTTTTAATTTAAAATTAATTAGGGCCATTAAATTTTACTTGTAGGCATTGATCTTTACAGCCAACTATTGTGCAGCGTAGCGATACATATGCTTGGCTAGTGCCCCTGGTTTTTTTCACAACATGCAGTTGTCGGGTAGTTGTTGTGTGTGAGTTCCGTATGAACGCCAGACAGAGCGAACACTCCACCATCCAGGCGGTGCGTGCTGCCGGTCCGGTCGCCAGCACCTGCTGCCAACAGTGGCGAGGACATGTTCGTTAACAATCATAGATATCACACTCTAGATAGACACCACTCTTCAATAGTGTAAGATTACAATTCTATCTATAGAAAGCTTACTGTCTACAGAATAAACACCACACAGATAAAATACGATAAAATGCAAAGCAAAAATGAGAAGGAAAATACACATAACAGGATGTACCCTGTGGGGAGAATTGTACACAGGTAAAAATTCCATATTGCAGTAAACCTCATAATATAATTAATAATAATATTTAATAAATAATAATAAATAGATAAGAGGCAAACAAAAAAATAGGTGTGTTTTCCGGTCGAGCCGACCGTCCCTAGATTATTAGGTGCGCGGACCCTAAACTGTTTTTTTCAAAAAAAAAATCAAATTTTTATAAAATTTTTTTAAATTGAATCTGACAGACAAAGACTGAGAGATTTTTACATACAGAACACTGTTGCTGTATCCTTGGGCTGCTACTAAACTTATCCTACCTATACACACTTTATTAGCATGCATCAGAGGATATTAGGAACCAAGACGAATAAAAAAATAATAAAAAAAAATAAAAAAATCTGCCTAGCCTACCTACCCTTACTTTTGCGTTTCGATGCAATAGGAAACACACCTATTTTTTTTGTTTGGCCTGCGGTGTACAATAAGTAAATATAAAGCAAAACGCTACATAATAATAATGACTTCGGGCATTAATAAACACGAATATCATCAACAGAGGGCGCGGCATTTCAATTCTTTGTGGTCACAACAGGGTTGGCGCCTCACCGTGCATTTTTTTCTGTCTCCCGCCGCGCAGTGTGAACGGCCAGCTCCGGCGAGGGAAGACGGTCGACGACGGTGCGGCGCCTCCTGGTGGAGACCGCGGCGACGTCCTGCGTCTGTCCGCTCGTTTCAGAGTACTGTCCCGTTCAGACACTCTCCCCTACGAGCGACACGGCCGAGGCCTCGACCAACGGCTGTCGCCGCCGCGACGACGCGGAGAGCGAACGGCAGCGTCGAGCGCCACCTCGGCAAGGTGCCGATCGCGCGGCCCGGTGCGGGGCTCGCCAGGCGGGCCGGCCGCGCGCGCGATGATGCCGTCGTGTGTCCCGGTTAGCCGGATGTTTTCTCGCTTTTTCCAAGGGTGGGAAGTATTTGGGGGCTGATGGCGCGTGGTTGTGTGGCTGGGCGGAGAGAGAGGTGGGTATCGGCAGAGGGCGTGGGAGGAGGCGGTGATGGGGGCGCGGGGCGGCGGCGGCGCTCCCCTGCGTTTTTGCACACGCTGCAGTTTGCGGTATGTTGTGTGTGTTTGTAAACGCCATGTGGTCCAGAGCGAAACTCCACAATCCGCGGTGCGTGCTGCGTCCGTCGCCACACTGCTTCCATACTGTGGAGGACATTATGTTGTTAAGTTTCTATCATACGATAACATGTGCTAGATCAACACGCAGATCCGGCCAGTGCAAGGGACGTGCTGCCGTGACGTGGGTGCGTCTCTCTCCTCCCCTCTCCTTAACGGCGTCCTCTTCACGACTTCGCCTGTTCCGCCTGCCTTGATGTGGGACTCCAGACGTCCTCCCTCTCCCCGTGTCCCTTCTCGCCCTCCTCCTCTCCCGCTCCCTGTCTCCTCTTCCTCTCCCCTCTCTTCTATTCCCTGCCTTCTCCCCTCTCCTAAAACATCCTCTTCAGCAGCTTCGCCGCGTTCGCGTGCTGCCTTGCAGTGGGTACTCGCTCCGTCCTTTCCTCTTCCTGTTTCGTTCCTCGACCCTTCCCCTCGTCCGCCGCTCCCTATCCCCTCTCGGCTCTCCCCTCTCTTCTTATCCCTGCCTTCTCCACCTCGCTCCTAAACATCCTCTTCACACTTCCCCTGCGTCCCCTGCTTGCAATGTGGGGACTCCCCGGCGCCTTCTCCCTCTTCCTGTCCCCTCTCCGCCTCCCCTCTCCCCGCTCCTCTGTACCCCTGTCTCCTTCTCCCCCCTCTTCATATCCTGGCTCTTCGCCCTTCTCCCTTTTCTGCTAAAACCATCTTCTTCCACAGCTTTCGCCGGTTTCCTCGATGCTTGCCGGTGGGACTCTTGCTCTGCGGGATGCAGACATCAGGAGCTCCAGCCGACCCGGCGTTGACGGGCGTCGTCGTCTGTGGCTCGGCTCGAGGAGTGGCGCCAACCCGCGGACCGACACGCCATCAACGTCCCACGGGTAAACCTTTCGCTCGCGCTTGGCTCGCTCATGGGTGAGGTAGCGGCTTCCCTTGCCCGCGCCTATGGGCCCGCGTGTTGGTTTCCTCCATGGGGACAGGTCTGGTGTTATCTATGGAAATAACATCGTGTTTGTAGATCTTGACGGTTTATTGTAGATTTTGAAGCTGTGCTTGTGCTGATTGTCATCATCGGTAAGATGCTCAGTGTTTCGGACTGTACCATGCATTGCTGTGTCACCTTACCTGTCATCCATGCAGTTACTGTGTCACCTTGACCTTCATGCATCGCATTACTGTGTCACTTTTACCGTGTCATCATGCACGGTACTGTGTCACGGCTTACCGTCATCATGCATTACTGTGTCACTCTGACCGTACATCGAGTGCATTACTGTGTCCCTTACCGTTATCATGCAGCATACTCGTGTCACGTACCGTCATCATGCATTACTGTGTCAACCTGTACCCGTCACCAGCATTAGCTTGTGTCAGCTTACCGTCATCATGCATTACTGTGTCGCAGCTCTTAACGTCATGATGCATTACTGTGTCACCTTTACGTATTGGTCCGTCTACGATCTGCATTACTTGTGTCAACCTTACGTCATCATGCATTACTGTGTCACCTTTACCGTCGCATCCTGCATTACTGTTGTACCTTACCGCATCATCAAATCTGGTGCACCTAGATCATCGATGTCATAGCTGTGTACCAGTCATCGATGCATACTGTGTCACCTTACCGTGCATCACTGCATTACTGTGTCACTCTTACCGTCATGCATGCATTACTGTTGTCACCTTCACCAATCATCCATGGAATTTATGTGTCACCTACCGTCATCATGCATTATCTGTGTCACCGTTACGCACCATGCATTAACTGTGTCCCCACCTTACCGTCATCATGCATTACTGTGTCACCTTACTGATCATTCATGCCATTACTGTGTACTTTACCGTCATCATGGCATTACCTGTGTCAACGCTTACGCGTGCATCATGCATTAGCTGTTGTCACCTTACGCGTCATCATGCATTACTGTGTCACAGCCGTTACCGGTCATCATGCAATGCTGTGGTCACCTGTAACGCCGTCATCATGCATTACTGTGTCACCTTACCGTCATCATGCATTACTGTGTCACCTTACCGTCACCATGCATTACGTGTCCTTACGTCATCATGCACTTAGCTGTGTCAGCTTACCGTCATCATGCATTAACTGTGTCACCATTAACCGTCATCAGTGCGCATTACTGTGTCACCTTTACCGTTCATCATCGCATTACTGTGTCGCCTTACTGTCATGCATGCATATACTGGTGTCACGCATTACCGTCACCGAGCATTACTGTGTCACCCTTACGTCATCATGCATTACTGTGTCACCTTACCGTCATCATGCATTACTGTGTCACCTTACCGTCACCATGCATTACTGTGTCACCTTACCGTCATCATGCATTACTGTGTCACCTTACCGTCATCATGCATTACTGTGTCACCTTACCGTCATCATGCATTACTCGATGTCACCTTTACGACGCATCATGCAGTTACTGTGTCACCCTGTCACCGTCATCATGCATTACTGTGTCACCTTAACGTCATCATTTGCGCTTGCCCATTATCATTTTATCTCACATGTCAGTATTTTATGTCTGCCATCATTAGACTTTGTATGTCACCTTTCACCTCTGAGTCTGTCATCATCGTTAGACTTCATCCATCATCGTTTGACCTCACTCATCATCGTTTGACCTCACTCATCCAATCGTTTGACCGCTCACTTCATCATCGTTTGACCTCGAAGCTCATCATCGTTTGACCTGCACTCATTATCGTTTGACGCTCGGCTCATATCATCGTTTGACCTCACTCATCATCGTTTGACCTCACTCATCATCGTTTGACCTCACTCATCATCGTTTGACCTCACTCATCATCGTTTGACCTCGCCCGTCAGCGACTGACCTCTGTCCACTCCCACAGCTCGATGCTGGACAAGGCGATCGACCGCATCCGCGGCCGCGGTCGCAAGGATGATGCGTCGTCGTCGTCGCCGCGGCGACGCGCGCATGCCGGCGACCGCTATGAGCTTCTGTCAGACGCCGGCGTTGCCACGGCGACGAGGACGACGCGGGAGGAGGAGGAGGCGCTGGCGGAGTTGGATAGCATGATAGAGCACTACGAAAAAAACCCGGCGCGCAGCCGCCGCCCGCTGTTCCAGAAACACGGCCGCAAGAAGGTACGCTGGGGAGGAGGAGGGAGGGGGAGGTAGGAGGGAAGGATAGGTGTAGAGGGGAGGGAGGAGGAGAAAAACCCGGCCGTGGGAGGAGGGGAGAGAGGGGGGAGGGGAGGAGGTTGGTATGTCACGTAGGGAGGAGGTAGGTGTGTCTGAGAGTGGGGATAGGAGAGGTAGGTGGGGAGGGGAGGCAGAGATGCCAACCACTACGATTTATCCGTATTTTATGCGAATTTTGTTTGCATTTTGACCACTACGACCAGTTTGCATACAACTACGATTTTTATTACGATCGAAAAAAAATTTTTTTTAATGATATTTCAAGTGTTGTGTTTCAATGTTACATTGATATAACATGATTGAAAATGACTACATGTATTTAGCAGCAAATATCAGTGTGAACTTATTGTCATTTTGGGTCCCTGAATGCAGGAAATTGCATCTCGGAATCTAAAATTTTCCGGGGGCATGCCCCGAACCCCTTCTATCATACTCGGGTCACTGCGTGACCCTCGCACTACAGATTTCACACATCCTCACTACAGTTTGCTCAGGAAAGTGTTGGCATCTCTGGGGAGGGCAAGGGGGAAGGGAGGGAGAAAGAAAGAAGGTGCACCAAGGTAGGAGACGACAGGTGTGTCGGGGTGGGGAAAGGAAATAAGGTGCACAGGGGAAAGTTAGATCTCCCGCTCGTCTCAATCCGCGCGTCTCTTTCCCGCCACCAGGAGGCGCCGCTGAAGGAGCGCAGCGGCGGCACGTGGCCGCGCTGCCGGGGGTCCTCCCCGCCGGAGTTTGGCGAGGCCGCCACCATCTCTCTCTCGCCGCGCAAGAAGAAGGAGCGCAAGTCGATCATGACCCTCATGGCTTCCCCGCGCAGCATCTACGAGCTCGCGGCGCGCGGCGACGGTGGCGCCCCCGCGGACGCCGTCGCCGCGACGACGAAGGAGCGCGGCGGGCCGAAGCTCTCCTCGTTCAAGCTTCACGGCGGCCACCACCAGGGCGGCGACAACGTGCCGTCGGTGACGATGAATCGGCTGACGAACCTGGACGCGAACGCGCTGACGCCGTCGCTCTCTATAAACAGCATGCAGTCTAGGTGAGAGGTCACCACGGGGTCAATGATGTAATAATTATTTAATAATTAATTATTACATCATTATTAATATGAACGATCTCGATTAATTTTGCTAATCGCTGTGCTTGTTGATTGTGAAGTTTGATTTATCACTATTCGATTTAATTATTAGTTGCACTCATTTTAATGTATTTATATTTATTTTTACTATAATAGTTAATTGTTCAGTAATATATTCATATATAATATATATTGATGTATTTGATAGAGTAATATGGGACTTAATTGTCATCACAGGATGCGCGATCATGATTTTTAACATCGTTTTACTCGTGAATCTCACTATCTCTGCGTCACCATGAAGACGATGGCAGTAACTGTGACCTTCGCGTGTGTGTAATTAATGCACATAATTAACGATGCCTGCAATTAACGCTGCTTTTCCTCGGCAGTCAACCCATGCGCGACGCCGCCTCGGAGGTTAGTCTGGCCTCGTCGTCACGGGACGGCTGCGACCACCGCAAGCGCAGCGGCGGCGGCGGACACGGCACACGCGGGCCGCCGTCGCTGCCACCAGAGGGCGGCGCGCAGCAGCAGCAGAAGCCGAGCAGTCTAGTCAACATTCAGTCAGCATTCCAAAGCCAAGGTTACGGCCATTCCAGCTTTCAAGGTCGGTGGCGCGTGCGCGCGGCCCGTTGTTAGCGTTCGTTAGATGTTCGTTGGCCTTGGTTAGCTTTCTTTTGTCTTAGCTTATTAAGCTGCAACTCTCAACTGAAAGCGTCTCCGAAAGATTTAGCATTTAAATTTAACTTTTTGACTTTATAGTTATGACTACGAGTTGTTATCGTTATATTTAAAATGTTTTTGAGATGGCCCCCGGTTTATTAATTAAACAGGTCTTAGATAGTCGCCACTCTTTCCTCCGCGACTTTTCACTCATTTAAATTTTGAAAAGATTCTCCACGCTCCACAGGTCACCACTACCCGCTGCAGCAGATGCAGGAGCGTGCAGAGTCGCTGCCTCTACGGCCGTCCGCGCTCCCCGCCGGCCTCCCCCAGGGGGCGCCGGTGTCCGGCGGGCTCCCCCAGGGGGCGCCTACGACGGTGCTGCGTTCGCCGAACAACGTGCAGTTCTACACGGTGACGAGTCAGCGGATCAGCGCGGGCGGGGGGCTGCCGACGTCCCCCATCGCGATGCTGGCTCCCTCTCACCACCACACGTCGCCCATAGGTACGCACGCGCGAGGGGCGATGCCGCCACCTGGCGGGATATATGTCCTCGTCGGCAGCGGCTGCGCTGCCTGGCGAGGGCTGTCTCTGCGTCGGTGGCGGCAGTTTGCGAGAATGCGAATGCAGTCTGCGTGCAGTTGGTCGTATCCGTGTTTGTTAGCAGACACCTCCGTAGAGTGGCCGCCTGTCTATAAAGGACACTTGACCTTGATACGACCCTGTTTCCTTCGAGTAGTAGTTATATGGTGAAACCTCCTCCGTAGAATGAACACCTGTTAAATCTCGTTAAGGCGTTACGTCGATTAACACCGCCTCCATCAATAGCGTACGCTCGTTAGCAGATGATCGTTAACGCGACGATCGTTAGCACTTGCTCGTTAGCGCGACCCTCGTTAACGCGACACGTCGTCTCCGCCCGCAGGTTGGTCTGGTCGCGGGGACATCATGTCGACCTCGATTCCGGAGATGGACACCGACAACACTCAGTACTTCGCTCGCCTCCACGAACTACCGGCGCCCTCTCCCTGCCCCTCGCACCACAGCAGCACGGGCGGCGGCGGCGGCGGCGGCGCGATCGCGTCGTCCCCGACCCACGGCCTCATCGACCCCAAGAGGGCGCCACACTACGACAGCCTCGGGCGGAGCCGCGCGGCCACCGGACAGCGCATGCGCATCCCGTCCAATCAGAGCGTCGCGTCGAAGTCGAGCGCGGGAAAGATGTCGGGGAGTTCGACGGACCGAAGTGAGTGTGGTTGTCGTGACGACGGCATCATTGTCATCATCATCATCATTATCATTTATATTGATTTTTATTAATTTGTTTGTTTGAATTTGATTATAAAACATATTGAAGGATATATTTCGATAACAGTTAGGGCGATCCGAATTCAATAAATGGATTAAAAATATAAAGATTAATTCGCATGAATTTATTTACTTTCAACATCAACTAACGCGCCGAAACATTAATTAGATTGCCGTGATGGTGACTAACGCCGGTGCGTCTATCTCCGCAGTTTCGTCGTACAGCGCCGACACCAGGGGGAGCCCCATGCTGATGTACCCGCCACCGCCCGAGTACTGCCCGCCCCCGCCGGCCGAACACAGACCCGTCAAGAGGTAAGCCCCAGTAGGTGGCGCCACCACATCGCTGCGATGTGGCAGCGCCGTTTGTTTTTGATGTTGCTGATGCGTCAGCGCTTATGGCTCTCGCATCGTGGCATATACCTAATCGTCTTGCGCTAATAAGTCGTCCGCTCACGTGAAAACTCGTCCGTGGGTCCGCACCTCATCTTTGAACATGTAAACCCCTGTGCGTCCACATGTTGTTCGTGCATTGTATACCTAATCGAGTCATCTGCGCACTTGTAAAACTCGTCCGTACTCTAAGGCCAAAACAAAATATAGGTGTGGTTACCATTTCCCGACCGACCCTATTTATTCCCAGCGACCCTAAACATTTTATTGTCAATTTTCTTTAAAGTAAAAAAAAAAATGTAAAAAAATGAATTGGACAGTTCCTGCTTCAAAAGGCACAACGCACATCCTTCGGACATGGTTCGTAAATAAAATGTTTCAATAAAATAAAATGTTCTCCCTGCCTACCTACCCTATTTTTTTTCGGCATGAAAGGGTAACCACACCTATATTTTGTTTTGCCCTAATCGAGTCTCGTCTGCGTGTCCACACGTCGTCCGCTCACTCGTAAACTCGTCTGCTCTCTGTGTGTTTCAGGCCGTCGCCGGGAGACGTGCGTAACATCTACATAGAGAAGAGCTCGGACCCGCTCGGCATACAGATCCTGGAGGCTCGCGGAAGCGGCGGCATCTTTGTGAAGACCGTCAACGCCAACAGTCTTGCGGCGATGGCAGGCCTGCAGGTCGGAGACCAGCTGCTAGAGGTGAGAGCGCGCGTGTTTGTTCGTCTGTCCGTGCGGCCTGCTTTATTCTGTCCATCGCGGCGTGCGGTCGGTGTGACGTGAAGACCGTCAACGCCAACAGTCTCGCGGCGATGGCAGGCCTGCAGGTCGGAGACCAGCTGCTAGAGGTGAGAGCGCGCGTGTTTGTTCGTCTGTCCGCGCGGCCTGCTTTATTCTGTCCATCGTGGCGGTTGGTCTGTGTAAGGATGTGCGTGTTCGTCTGTCTGCACATTGTGCTTTATTCTGTCGATCCGGGCATTCTGTCCTGTATTTAGTATGTGCTTGCAAATTAATGTCGTGTTAACTTATATTACTGACCATAAAAATTACCGTAAAAATACAATGCACCGAGTGGTAGACTAAATTATGTTGCACCGGGTTTAATTTTATTCGTCAACATTGTAAAGTGCGACAGTACTGTGTGCAGTGGTACTAAGTACAACCGTACTAATCGAGCGTACGTTTACAGGTGTGTGGGATCAACATGAGGAGCGCTAACTACCAGCTCGCGAAGATGGTGCTGCTGCAGTGTGGAGACTCCATCTCCATGAAAGTGCAGTACAACCCCGACAGTGAGCATCCGACCCTACTCCGCCTCGCGTGGCGTCTCGATGTGCCTCGCGTGGCGTCTCAAAACATCTTGTCGACGTTTATTTTCTCTTTAGTTATTTTATGGTTCTTATCCCTTGTGTTGTGGCGAGCTGATTATATACTTTCTTTGCGTTGCGTTAACTTTACTTAAACGTTAAATTTATACTTTATAAGTTAATTAATCACCTTTAATTAGTTAATCACATTTAATTAGTTAGTCTCGTTAATTAGTTAGTTAGGCTTGTTGTTATTCTCATTCATTAACTGTCAACCATTTTGATGTGTTGGCGATGATTTCGTCTGCGCTCGTTGTCACGGAAACCACCCGTTAATTTTTCAGAATACAATGAGCAAGGTGAACAGCCGTGCAGCCAATCCAACGACGGCGATCTTCCGCCCAATATAGAGGGCGCTGACACGTTACGGAGGGAGCCACCGCTCCCGCTCGCCTCGTCCATCTACCCTCTGTCAAACATGTGAGCATCCGAACCGTTTGCTTGTTTTGGTGATAAATCCGAGAGAATTTTCCAGCAGTCGAATTTTTTTAGCAGTAGAAATAGGCAAATGAAAATTCAAATCGGTTTTACGTTCACAAATTGTTTTTAATTTTTATGCAAATTTTTTATGAAATGTAATCTATCACAATAATGTTGTATCTGGATAAGAGCAAAATGCTGAACAAATGCTTTTATATATAACTGAAAAAACTACAAACCCAAAATAGGCAAGTTAGAATACACAGTCAAAACTCTATGTAAAAGGTCACTCAAGAAAAGCCCTAAAGGTGTTCTTTCTAGACGGGTCTCGATTTTATGCGGCCGCGCCGTATAACTGCCGCGTGACGGAAACGCCGCACGCGACCTCTAAGGACAGGTGGCCTTTCTGTAGAGGTAATCATTGTCGTTCGCTCCCGCAGCCGACCACTGACGTTGTCGTCGTCGGCTCCGCCGCTGCCGCCTCCCGGTTCCGAGCTGCCCCCGTCGGAGCCCCGCATTGTCTTCCTGAAGAAGGTGGCGTCGAGCCTCGGCGTGACTCTGATTGGTGGGAACGCGGTGGGAATCTTCGTTCACGCCGTGAAGCAGGACAGCGTCGCCCACGCGCCGGGCGGACTGCGCTGCGGAGATCAGATACTAGAGGTCAGCACCGGTGCTCGCGGCGGGGCGACACGGGGCCGGAGGGAGGGTAGGGAGGACAGGAGGTCGGCCCCCTGGGGGGGACCGCTGCTCCTTGTTCCGGACGCCGCACAGCACTGACGCCCCGAGGAGTGGGCCGGTTACGGCTGACTGTCTTGAATGTGATAGATGCTCTTGACAGAGATGCCAACCACTACGGATTTATCCATATTTTATACGAATTTCTTATTCACTTTTGCCCACCACTCACGACCAGTTTGTCATCAAACTACGAATTTCACTGTGACGAAAATTTTTGTTTTTTGTGTTAATTTATTGTCATTTTTGACCCTCAGAATGGCAGAATTGCATCTTCAGATCAAAAATTTTGTCCGGGGGGCAGAGCCGGACCCCTAGCAACTCGCGGTCACTACGTGACCTCGAACTACTAATTTGATGGCCAGAAATTACAGATTGCTTTAAATATGTGTTGGCATCTCTGCAGTGGTTGAGTGATGAGTCTCTCTCTCTCTCTCTCTGGCTTTTTCTCCCACTTCTCTCTCTTTCGATTCTCTCTCTCCTTCTCTCTCAGTCTTTCCGGATCTCTCTTCTCTCTCTCTGGCTTTTTCTTCCCACTCCCTCTCTTCGATTCTCTCCTCTCCTTCTCTTCAGTCTTTCCGGATCTCTCTCTTCTCTCTTTCTCTCTCTCTCTTTATCTTTTTCTCTCTTCTTTATCTTTTTCTTTATTTCTCTTTATCTGTTTCTCTCACTCTCGTTCTCTCTCTCACTTTCTCTCTCTCCCATTCTCTTTCTCCCCCACCTTTCTCCCTCTCTCTCTCTTCTCACTTTCACGTCTTCTTGCTTCACAGTTTAACGGGTCGACCTGACGTCACAAGCAACGGCGGAGAAGGCAGCCTACGAGGGTTAGCGAGGCCAGCCAAACAATGTGACCATTCTCGCGCAGTACAACATTGCAAGTACGTGTTCTCGTGGGTCAGGAGTGGTAACAGAAATAGCAGGTTTGTAGCAGGTCTTCCAAAGTCTTATAAGTACTTATTTTGCCAAAAATAAATAAGGCCCTTATTAGATACTTATTTTGGTGAAATCTTAGCAAAAGTACTTAATAGTCCTTATTTTTGCCAAAGGACCAATTGTTTTATAACTGTTCTCGAATTAGAGTAAGAATTGTGTTATATATATAATACGGAATAATTAAAATCTGCTGTGCAATTGTGATATATAAAATTATTGATTGTCTACTTTATTAGTCGCGTAAAAAAGTCTTATTTTTGGCCTCCAGAAAGGGTTTTATATGTCCTTATATTCAACATCGTGTTTTACTACTTATGAACCTGGATAGCCGCGGAAGTGAATGGTGGAGTCAAACGGTGGAATCAAAAATCTTGTAAGCTGTCTTCGTTGATATGTTGGATGATACCACCATCTCCCTATCACCACAGTGACTATCTACTATCTACCTAGAACCAGATATGCCTCTCTTTCTCTCTCCCTTCTTCCATACTTCTATCCTACCTTCCTCTCTCCCCCTCTCCCTCTCCCCTCCCCTCTCTATCTCTCGCTCTCCCTCCCCTCTCCTTCTCCCCTTCCCCTCTTTAATCTCTCACTCTCTCCTCTCCCTCTCTATCTTCTCTCCCTCCCCACCCCTCTCCTCTCTCTCCCTCTCTCTCTCTAACACCTTCTCCCCCTCACCACAGAGGTACAACAAGTGAGACAGGATGTAGCACGTGCAGGAGCAGGCGGCCGACTCGTTCTTACGTCTAGCGAGCGATGTTCCCTTCTCCCCCTCTCTCTTCTCCCTCTCCCCCCACCCCCTCTCTCTCTCTCTATACACCATCCCCTCTCACACACAGAGTACAACAAGGTGAGACAGGAGCACTGTGCAGGAGCAGGCCCGGCGACTCGTTCTACGTGCGAGCGATGTTCCCTCTCACCCCTCTCCCCCATCTCATCTCTCTCTCCCCACCCACCCTCTCTCTTCTCCTCTCTCTCTAAACACATTCTCCCTCTCACACACGAGATCTTTTTTTTTTTAGTTTTTTTTTTTTTTCACAACAAGGGTGCATGACAGTAGCACGTGCAGGAGGCAGGCCGGCGAACTCGTTCTACCATGCGGGCGATGTTCTCTCTCCCCCTCTCTCCCTCTCTCTCTCTCTCTCCACACCCTCTCTCTCTCTCTCTTCTACTCTATCACATTCTCCCCTCTTCACACACCAGAGTACAACCAAGGCGCTGAAGACAGAATGCACTGGCAGAGAGCAGTGCCAGCGCTATCGTTCTACGTGCGAGCGATGTTCCCTCTCCCCCCTCTCCCCCTCTCTCTCTCTCTCCCACCCCTCTCTCTCTCTCTCTCTCTAACACTCTTCATCCCCTCTCACACACGAGAACAACAAGTGAGACTATTGTGGGCACGTGCAGGAGCCAGGCCAAGCTGACTCAGTTTCTACTGTCCTCGCAGCGATGTTCCCTTCCCCCCTCTCCCCTCTCTTCCATCTCTCCCACCCCTCTCTCTCTCTTCTCTCTCTCTAACACCTTCTCCCTGCTCACACACAGAAGTACAACAAGGGGTGAGACAGCGAGGCACGGTTGCAGGAGGCCAGGCCGCGACTCAGTCTCGTTCGCGGAGCGATGATTCCCTCTTTCCCCCCTCTCCCCCTCTCTCTCTCTCTCCCCACCCTCTCTCTCTCTCTCTCTCTCTAACACCTTCTCTCCCTGCTCACAACACGAGTCTTAGTACAAACAAGGGTGAGACAGGAGCACGTGCAGGAGGCACGGCCGGCGACTCGTTCTACCAGTCTGCGGTGCGATCGTTTGCCGTTCTCTTCCCCCCCCTCTCCCCCTCTCTCTCTCTCTCCCACCTCTCTCTCTCTCTCTCTCTCTCTAACACCTTCTCCCCTCTCACACACAGAGTACAACAAGGTGAGACAGGAGCAGTGGCAGGAGCAGGCCGGCGAACTCGTTCTACGTCGCTGACGATCGTTCCCTCTCCCCCCTCTCCCCTTCTCTCTCTCTCTCTCCCACCCCCCTCTCTCTCTCTCTCTCTCTCTAACACCTTTCTCCCCTCTCACACACAGAGTACAAACAAGGTGAGACAGGAGCACGTGCAGGAGCAGGCCGGCGACATTCGTTTCTACTGTGCGACGAGTTCCCTTCCCCCCTCTTCCCCCTCTCTCTCTCTCTCTCCCACCCCTCGTCCTCCTCTCTCTCTCTCTTAACACATTCTCCCCCTCACACACAAGAGTTACAACAAGGTATGGGACAGGAGCACATGTGCAGGAGCAGTGCGGCCGACTCGTTCTACTCACGCTGCGAGCGATGTTCCCTCTTCCCCTCTCTCCCCCCCTCTCCCCCTTCTCTTCTCTCTCTCCCACCCTCTCTCTCTCTCGTCTCTCTTCTCTCTAACAACTTCTTCATCCCTCTCACACACAGAGTACAACAAGGTGAGACAGGAGCACGTGCAGGAGCAGGCCGGCGACTCGTTCTACGTGCGAGCGATGTTCCCTCTCCCCCCTCTCCCCCTCTCCCCCTCTCCCTCTCTCTCTCTCTCCCTCTCTCTCTCTCTCTCTCTCTCTCTCTAACACCTTCTCCCCTCTCACGACACAGGTTACAACAGGGCTGAGACAGGAGACGTGGCAGAAGAGCAGGCGGCGACTTGTTCTATCCGTCGCGAGCGCGACTGTTCCCTCTCCCCTCTCCCCCTCTCTCCTTCCCCCCACACTTCTCTCTCTCTCTAACACCTTCTCCCCCTCTCACACACAGAGTACAACAAGGGTGAGACAGGAGCACGTGCAGGAGCAGGCCGGCGACTCGTTCTACGTGCGAGCGATGTTCGACCACGCGCGCGAGACGGACGACGAACTGTCGTTCAAGGCCGGTGACATTCTCTACGTTGACAACACGATGTTCCACGGCATCCCGGCGCGTGCGCGCGCGTGGATCGTCGACCGCACGCCCAGAGAAGCAGCGTGCGCGTCTCGTCGTGCCGCACAAAAACAATGAGGCGCGCGCCAGTCGCGTGTTAATTTTTGCGGTTTGGACGTCCAGAGTAAAATCAAGAGAACGTCTGTCTCTCCTTCGTCGGCGTCGGCGCTCGAAAATGAGTGGCCGTCTCTCCTTTATCCTCATTAATCTGTTTTGAAATTTTCTTAAATTGGTTATTAATTAGTTGCTGTAGAATGGTCTGTCCTGTCTCTCTCTCTTCTGCTGTCTGTCTGTCTCTCTCTTCTCTCTCTCATGTCTATCTCTCTCTCTCTCTCTTGCTCTCTCGCCTCTCTCTCTCTCTCTCACATCTCTTCTCTCGCTCCTTTCGTCTCTCCTCAATATAAATTCACCAACATGACGCTAACTCCGCCGTCTCGCTCCTATCTTCACGCACAAGACTAGAGGAGGACTACCTCATGAAAGCGAAGCTTTGCCACGAAGTAGTCAACAGATGGCCCATCGGAGCGCTGCGACAAGCAGCGATGCGCGACGGCTGATCGCAGCGACGGAGAAGCTTCTTTCCGTCGCAAGAGCACCAGCGCCCGAACTCGAACGATCCAGCGGAGCGAGTGGGAGGAGGGGGAGGCGAGAGGAGGCAGGAGAGAGGCGAGAGAGGCGATTCTGAGGACTTACTCTAGTGTTTCGCTGAACAGCGAATACTCGGCGTCAACGACCGTCGACGGTGAGCGAACGGGGAGGAGGGTGGTGTGCGGGGAGGAAGGTGGAGGAGAGGGAGGAGGAAGGAGGGGAGGAAGGTTCGACACAGGGATGAGGGCAGGAAGATAGGGTGTGGGGAGAAGAGTGGTGTGCTGGGAGGAGAGTATGGTATGGGTAGGAGGAGGAGGTCTTCACTTCTCACTGTCAATGTTTCTCTTACAGATATCATCCCAACGTATCAGAAGATAGAGCGAGTTGACTGTAAGTAAATCTTCTAGCACAGTACTACACGACTTTCGCCACAACGATATTAATCTATATTATATTACTTATCACAAATAACCTTACATTTAACTCCTATGTGATATAAATATCATATGCGATGTAACATAGTCAATCATCAGTAAATCAGCGAAAAGTTTAAGGCTTTGATTTTTCGATGTTGTGCTTGGCGAGCATGCTGCTAATGAGGGCGCCACCGCATGTTTTTGTCGCAGGTCACGTTCTGCGGCCCATCGTTCTCGTCGGCCCCCTGGTGGAGAAACTGGCGGAGAAGTTGGTTCAGGAGTTCCCTCACCAGTTCTCGCGAAGCGTCCCCGGTGAGTCAGTGCTGACATCTGTTGGGCGATAATGTGATCAAAGTCACTACTGTCGTTGGTGAATATCATGAAGTAAGTTTTCTAGTAACGAGAGTGACAGTTCTATTCACAACAGCTAGAAGCCAAAAGTTAAGAAAAATGTTTAGAAAACTTTAAATCTTGCATTGCTAGAATGCATTAGGGAGAGAGAGAGAACATGCAAGCAAGCGAGAAGAAGAGTGAGCGAGTGCGCGCACGCGATAGAGAGAGAAAGAGAGAGCGCGCGAGCGAGAGAAAGATAATATAACGATAACAACAATGCTAACGATGATGATAATAATAACAACAACGATAACAATAACGATAGCAATAACAACAATGATAACGACAACGATACTGCTAACGATGATGATAGTGATAACGAGCGTCTCTCGCGTGTTTCAGAGATTAAGAAAGCGTCCGAGCAGGCGATGGAGAGAGGCGTCGCCGACAACAACTACATCGACTTCCGACGACGCGGCACGCACTTTGAGTGCATCACCGTATCGTCGGTGAAACAGGCCTGCTCTAAGGTAAGAGCATCCCTGTTGCCACGACGACGACGACGACGACGATGCGGTGGCGATGCAGTGGTTTCGCAGACGCTGTGGACTTGCGCTGTGATTTATTTTTCAGTTACATCGTTACATCGTTGGAGAATGATCGTACGTCGCATATTTATTATATCGAGCGTTCTGTGTTATGACGGGGGAAAGAAGTGTAATTCAATCAGGAGTTCTATTCTGACAAAGAAAATGTTACTTACAAATCTACTTGTGCAAATATAAGTTATTATATCGTGTGTTGTTTGGTGTGACAGAAGATAGCAATGTGATTTAACCATGTAATCTGTTCTTACAAGGATAATGTTACCCCACCAATGTAACAATCTACCTGTGAAAATATAAGCAGATATTCTGATCTGATAGGGGTACCATTCTAATTTGAGTGTGTGTGTGTGTGTGTGTGTGTGTGTGCGCGCGTGTGTGTGTGTGTGTGTGTGTGCGTGCGTGCGTGCGTGCGTGCGTGCGTGCGTGCGTGCGTGCGTGC